ATATGCATTATCATTTATTTTCTCTAACACCTTAAAGGGACCATCAGCACGTGGCATTAACTTTGATTTGCGCAAATCAGGAAATCTATCCTTACGCAAATGTAACCAAACAAGATCTCCAGGTGCAAACACAACATGTTTTCTACCCTTATCTCCAGCAAGTTTATATTTAGCATTCATGCGCTCAATGTTTTCCTTAGTTAACTCATGCATTTTTAAAATCAATTCAGCACGTTGTTTAGCATCAAAATTAACGTTCTCCGAAGATGGAAGAGGCAACAAATCAATAGGTGCACGAGGTAGGAAACCATACACAATTTCAAAAGGGCACATCTTAGTAGTAGAATGCAATGAACGATTATAAGCAAATTCAATATGAGGCAAGCATTCCTCCCACATTTTCTTATTATTCTTCAAAACAGCCCTAAGCATAGTAGACAACATTCTATTGACTACTTCAGTTTGTCCATCAGTTTGGGGGTGACAAGTAGTACTAAAAAGCAGTTTAGTCCCCAACTTAGCCCATGAACATCTCCAAAAGTGGCTAAGAAATTTAGTATCACGATCTGAAACAATAGTATTTGGCACACCATGCAAGCGAATAATTTCACGAAAGAACAAATCAGCAACATTAACAGCATCATCGCTTTTATGACATGGTATAAAGTGTGCCATTTTCGAGAATCTATCCACGACAACAAATATGCTATCCCTCCCCTTCTTTGTTCGAGGTAAACCTAAAACAAAGTCCATAGATATATCCTCCCAAGGAACACTAGGTACAGGCAAAGGCATATATAAACCATGAGGATTGAGGCGTGACTTAGCTTTTTGACATGTAGTGCAGCGAGCAATAAAACGCTCAACATCCCGTCTCATCTTTGGCCAAAAGAAATGTGTAGCAAGTACGTCCTCCGTCTTCTTCACGCCAAAGTGTCCCATTAATCCTCCTCCATGCGCCTCCTGCAACAACAAAAGACGAACGGAGCTAGCTGGAATGCATAGCTTGTTAGCACGAAACACAAATCCATCGTTAACAACAAACTTGTTCCACATTCTTCCTTCTTTACAATTATGCATTACATCTTTGATAGAGGCAAAGGTGTCCCGTCTTTCGATGAGATGTGGATTTCGCTTTGGTGGAAGTCGACTTTGACGATCCGACTACGAACGTGCGAGGACGTCGCGCCTTAGCAATCGCTAAACCAACTCCGAGAGGTTATTGACCACGCCGGAGCACGATCAACCTGACCACGAGGGTCTGTTTCCTGCGAGCAAACGAAGAACAAGCAAGAAACTAAGATTGCAATCTGGATATTGCGAATATAAGATGAAAGCTTTATTGATCAAGGTGGGGTTCTGTGACGCCTTTGTCTGGTCGTTGAACACAAACGAAGTACGCGAAGTTGCAGCTATGGCGAACTTTTAATCTAAACAAAACCCAAAATCTAAACGATGCCCTAAGGGCTGTATATATGGAGGAAGAGGGGGGGGGGGAATTTCGTGGCCCTTGGTGGAGGGGTCCGAAATCAACCCTATCTCTTGTTTCCCCACACATACGGACTCTAAAAATAGCCTATACTTATGTATTTCGAAATTACATGGGCCTGGCCCAATAATAAGGTGACGCAGCACCTAAAATAGCCTCGGGACGAAATTTATGAAGTGGCATCTTGTATATTTCGTCCAAGGCTTCATGCACCCATTATGGTGGCTTCAAAGTCCTGAAATCATCACTTGTAACTCCGTTCTTGTTCCCCTTGCGCATGCCATCATCTCCATGCTTGTTCTTGCTCCAATGTTCATCCTTCTCCAAGCTAGGCCCTTCATTTGTAAGCAAAACAAATGTATCCAATTTAGGCAGCATCATATTCTCATGAACATTAGAATCATTACCAAGAAACGAAAGTACCTGGTAATTTAGTTGGCGTGCGTGAGCTCTAGTAATTGGTCCAGTATGTATAGCAGCAGGGCCTGTGGGTGTAACAATGGTATTGATGTCCTCATCACATGCTGTTTGGAAGGCAACATCCCAAAAACGGAGTGGCATGGAAGCTTGGGCCAGAAGGGTGAGGCCAACATCGACGACATGACGATGCTTACGTTCAGCCGAGCCGTTCTGTTGGTGTGCGTGGGGGCATGAAACGGTGTGAGAGATGCCAATCTTGGTGAAAAACGAATTCAATTTCTCGTATTCGCCGCCCCAATCCGATTGGACACGAATAATTTTCTTATTAAAGAGGTGTTCAACATGTGCTTGGAACTGAAGAAAGACACGCTCCACATCGGATTTATGTTTCAAACAATAAAGCCAAGTAAATTTGCTGAAATCATCGATAAAACTGACATAAAACTTGAACCCTCCGGATGAAAGACACGCAGGTCCCCATACATCGGAGAAAATTTGTTCAAGCGGAGAAGATGACACACTGCTAGACTTAGGGTAAGGGAGCTGATGGCTCTTGCCCTGTTGGCACGCATCACAGATGGTGCTTTTATTGGACTCGCTTGTAGACGGAAGACGATGACTTCTAAGAACTTGATCAACGACTAAAGACGCCGGATGCCCAAGCCGGCGATGCCACCTCTCTCGGCTGGGAACGGAAGCGAGGAAGGCATGCTTCTGGATGGCTTTATTGCTGGGAACAGGGTACAACCCCCTCTCACTGGGTCCTTGATGAAGAACCTTCCTCGTAGCCCGATCCTTGATAACAAAATAGTAAGGGTGAATTTCAAGAAAAATATTGTTGTCACAAGCGAGTCTATGACCAGAAAGAAGATTTTGGCTAGCATCTGGGACGTGCAAGACATTTTTCAACCGAAGATTACGGTGGGGAGTATGAATGAGGGATTGACCGATGTGAGCAATGGTCATACCTGATCCGCTAGCTGTGTGCACCTGATCCTTGCCGGTGTAGGGCTCGTGGATGTTCAACTTGTCGAGATCCGCCGTGATGTGCTCCGTGGCTCCGGTGTCCAAGTACCACACGGGGTCGACGTTCTGCGACCTGGAGATGTGGGCGGCGTGAGGTTCTTCCATCTGGTAGTTCTGATTGAAGCGGTTGTAGCAGTTTAGCGCCTCGTGCCCCACCTTGCTGCAGATTTGGCACCGCACCTTGGGCGGGCCAGAGTTGTTGAAGCCGCCGCCGCCCGGGCCGGGGTAGCCGCCGCCGCCACCACCGCTGCTGCGGGAGTTGCTGCCGTTGTTGGAGCTGCGTGACTGCTGCTGCTTCTTGCCTTGGTTGTTGTAGCCACGGCTGCCACCGTTGCCGTTGCCATTGCCGCCGCCCCCGTTGCTGCCGTTGCCGCGGTACTGATCGCGGTTTCCACCACCGCCACGGCTAGCGCTGTTGGCAGAGATGTTGTAGCCGCCTCCACTGCCTTCCTGGCGGAGCTCGAAGTCGAGCATGTGTGCGAAGAGGTCGTCGACGGTGACATCCCCCGCCTGAGTGGTGACCGACGTAACGAGCGGATCATAGGAATTGTCCAGCCCTGTGAGCAGATACGTGACGAGGTCGTCGTCTCCGACGGGGCGGCCGGCGGAGGCGAGCATGTCGGAGAGAGTCTTGACGCGGCCAAAATACTCCGTCACCGTCAGGTCCTTCTTCTGGATGGTGGCCAACTGCTTACGCAGCTGCATGATCCTCGCCTTGGAGTGCGAGGCAAACATCCGCTCCAGCGTCGCCCAGACGGTGGCCGGTGAGGTGTGCAGCGCCACCCTCGCTAGCACTTTAGGAGCGAGTGTCGACAGGAGGCCCGAGAGAACGAGCGCCTCCTGTGCAGCCCAGACGCCATGGGCTGGGTTATCAACCAGCTCGGCGTTGGCTTCAGATGATGCCGGCACACGCCTGGGGGGAGCAACCGAAGACCCGTCGACGAAGCCAAACAGATGATGGCCTCGCAAGATCGGACCGATCTGCGCCCTCCATAGCAGGTACGTGGCGCCGGCGAGCTTGACGGTGACCAGCTGGGTGAAGTTGGGGAAGGATACAGAGGGCGATGCCATGGCGCCGGCGAAGGTGGAAGTGATGGCGCCGGACGTCTGCCCAAGGAGCGCACCAGTGGTGGATGAGTTGGTGGAAGGGGAAGTCATGGTGTTGGACGTCTCAAGGTTTCAGAGAAGGAGACTCTGATACCATGAAAGAGTAGATGACAATGAATTTGTTCCGTGCATCTGGAGCGATGCCGGCTGCAGTTTATATATACGGGCAAACTTGCCGATCAAGAGAAGATTACATCAGGTTGTTACAATCTCAACTATACGCATACGTCCATGCTTATCTATACAACAAAGGGAGGTACACATCCGGTCAGGTAGTTAGGATCTCTACAATATCGCTAACACATATAGGTTCAAAGCAAAGTTAGATTGCATTAATAGCATCCATCCCAAGACTATAATGTACGTGTGGATTTCAGTGAGGTGCGTCGCCGAGAGCTCCTTGTCCGCGTCCCAGGCAACACTCGTTACTTTGTTTCTGAAAAAAAATGTATTACAAGGAAAAACGAGATTTGTTTGGTTTTTCTTTGTCGGGAAGGAACGGCGGGAAGGAGACATACGTTGGACCAAAAATGGATGGGCCGGCAGCGCGCCCCTCCCATGGGAAGATATTTTGATCAAAAGTCAAATCAAATCAAATATAATAATAAATCTCTAGAAAAGTTTCCACCGTTCCAACATTCGAACCCTATCCTATTGATTCCTTCCGCTGCCACTTGCCACTTCGTCCTTCCGCTTTTTCCCCCGAAGCCCGAATCCTCTCTCTCCTCCCCGTCATAAACAGGGACCTCAAACAGGTTCTCTTGTACCTCCGCGCCTCCTCGGATTTGATTTCTTCGGTAGGCGATAAGGAACCCGAAATGCACTGGTTGTTCCGATTACCTCTTATTTTTTGCTCTATCCTGAATCTCCTGTCTTCTCCTATCCATGCAGTTCGTTGCGGATTTCCCTCCTGTCTGAGTACTAATTTCGCTCGGTTTCCCAACAAATTTGGATATCCATGCTCCACGTCAGGCTCGCTCCTGGGCCTGCACCGCGTAATTTATCTAGGTAATACTACCAATAGCTCCTAATACGGCTGGGACTAATTGTTTTGATGCATGTGGTCTCTAATGGGGATTGGTGGTTTGGGGTTTTGGTTCAGGAGATGGGATTCCAGTGCATACCTACATAGCTGGTGTTCCGTTCCTTGTCCAAGCAGGCTCAGTCTCTCGAGGACATATTCAATTAAATCTTCTTCGATTGGTAGCGCCACGGGACTTTGTCTTGGGCAATGTTGCCGCATCAAGCCTTTGTCCTGCAAATGCAAGCTAGGTAGGTCTTCTCAGCCGCCACCTGACTCGAGGCAACATTTTAGTGCATCTTCATCCGCATCAGAGGCGGTTCTCACTGCGCAGTCCGATATCCGGAAACTTTTTGTTGCCAATGAGAAAATCGGCGTTCTGCTGCTAAACCTTGGAGGCCCAGAGACCCTTGATGATGTCCAGCCTTTCTTGTTTAATCTCTTTGCTGATCCGGTAATTACCATCCTCATATGCAATTATGAGCCTCTTAAGTTTTTTCACTTGCTATATTTCCCAGTCTTCATTTCGCCCAAAAGATTATGTGGAGCAAGAATTTATCATTTTCCTGGAAATGTACAACAATTTACTTTGTACTCCCTCTGTAAAGAAATATAAGAGCGTTTAGATCACTAAAGTAGTGATGTAAACGCTCTTATATTTGTTTACGGAGGGAGTACTTCTCATCGAATTGTAAAGGCCAAATCAACCTTGGAGCTTTGCATCAAGTTCTACAATCATGGGATACATTTTGTAGCTAAAAAATAAAGAGCTTCAGAAGTTCATATGTGCCTCCTTACAAGTGCTTTTGAGGAAATCACACTGCAACTTATTTTCTCCTACTCATTGGCTATCTCATGATACATTATGACAGGATATCATCCGTCTTCCTAGGGTGTTCCGCTTTCTGCAGAAGCCGCTAGCACAATTCATTTCTGTTGCAAGAGCGCCAAAGAGCAAGGAAGGTTATGCATCCATAGGTGGTGGTTCACCTCTTCGACAAATTACTGATGCGCAGGTGCATTGTAATCTTGTATTGTCTTAATTGCTAACTTCTCATGGATCCTGCACAAGTGAATCTCTTAACACAATGGATATTACTGAAATTCACTCACTACTGAACAACATAACTAAAAAGTAGTTCTGTATCACACATTAAACCTACTGTTCAGCAGAATTAAAGCTATCTGCCCAAATGACAGTAAAATGTTGAAAAAAGATTGTCTCCATAATCCTAGGAAGCACTGGAATTGCACTTATCACCAAGGAGCATAAGTGAAACAAAAACAAAAGAAACTGCTTGCTACTCATAATATAAGATCACTCGAAACCACCTACGCCTAGTCCACGAGTCACAACTCCTAACAATATAGCGATCTGTTCAACAGCTAATTGTCTGAGCAAGATGCAGCATAATGCACAACCATGCATGTTGTGAATAATTATTGTAATATTTATTCTAACCATTTATAATATTCACTTGTTTTGAAGAAAATAACCATAGGGGAAACCCATACAGTATATGTAGGAACCCATATTTGCATCCGTGGGGACTTGAACTCAGGTGGTGGGGCTGTAAATCCACTTCCCCAAATAATTGAGTTAGGCTCATTTCGTTCTTGTAATGTTCCCTCAAGCCAATGTCGCACTACTAGATGGGTTAATGAGTCACCTGACAAGAATACTTCTATTTGATGTTGAGCAAGAAAATATGTTGTTTCCCTTAGGCGTTGACCTATTTTATCATTATGATGCTAAGTAAATTAGTTAAGGTCTCCTCACTTCTCCTATATTATTCATATCTTCCCATAAACTATATACATCCTATATTATAATTCATTTTATGGTTTTACCATTTTATGGAAACCTTGTACAGGGAGAAGCACTTATGGAGGCATTATGTGGAAAGGATATCCCTGCTAAGGTGTACGTGGGAATGCGGTATTGGCATCCCTTCACCGAGGAAGCTATAGAACAAGTAGGGGCTTTTCATGTCTCCATTACGCTAGTTAGGTTCTGCTGTTTACTTTATTGATCAATTTTTTGGCATTTGTTTCTGTCTATTGAAATACTCCCTCTATAAAGAACTTTAGTGATCTAAATGCTCTAATATTTCTTTACGGAGGGAGTACATTGCCCGCCTCTCTCCATGAGTCTGGACATTTGGAGCAACTGGTTGGTGCATGAATTCAATACTGTCAGTATCAGAAGTTACTGATAACAAATGGTAGAAAATGTGTTGCCATGACAAGGAAACGAAAATAGCCTAATGCGCTATCTAATGAGAGAAACGTCTAGATTATTACCGAAAAAGGCTTTCGCCCCGCTTTATAGATAAAGCAAACCACCACAGCCCAACAGCCCAACACAAGTTCACAATGCACGCGCACACACACACATGAAGGTACGGTACAGACGAACACAGAGAGAGTACAAGAGGGTTCTACTGAGGGCACAGCTCAACAAGTCCTAAAAAAGAAAACACAAGCTGTAGTATACACCACAAATGTCTAGATTATTACAAGAAACTCCTCCTAAGCTAGTTGTTGCTCAATTATTTCACCTTCATGACGCTGATCTTTTCCCGAAGTACCTCGAGCCGGACACGCCCAAGTGCCTTGGTGAATATGTCCGCGAGCCTGATCGCAGGTGCCGATGAAGTTGACGGCAACCTTTCCATCCTCAATGCAGCCTTTTGATGAAGTTATATTGCACCTCGATGTGCTTGCTTTGGTCGTGGAAGACCGGGTTCTTGCAGAACTGAATCGAAGATTTGTTGTTCAGGCTGGCGATGAGAGGATCTGTCCCGTGGAGATCGCCGAGGAGCTGCCCAAGCCATATGCCCTGGCATGCCACTGTGGCGGCAGCGATGTACACTCGAAGGAGAACAGCGAGATGACCTTCTGCTTCCGATATTGCCAAGACACTGGGCAATAGCCGAAGAAGAGCAGTGTGACTGAGGTGCTCTTCCGGTTGTCGATGTCGCCAGCCATGTCAGCATCGCTGTAGCCGACGAGTCCCCTGTCGCCGGATTTCCTGCTGTAGCTGCAGCCGTAGTGGAGCGTGCCCGCAATGTACCTGTGCTTGACGGCGCTCATGTGCTCTCTTGTGGGCGCCGCCATGAAGTGGCTCACCATGCCGACGGCAAAGCTGATGCCCGGGCGAGTGTGAACCAAGTAGCGGAGGCTGCCGACAATGCTCTGATAGAAGGTGACATTGAACGGCGGATTTAAGCTCTTCGATGGCTTTAGGCGTGGTTCCATCGGCACGTGCCAAAAACGGAAATTGCCTAATGCGCTATTTAAAGAGAGCAATAGCTAGATTTTATTACAACCATGGTTTTCGAGTTGCGCGACTAGTCGATGAGTTGCAAAAAAATGTCGACTCAACTTAGTGTCGACTCGAGTCGCGAGTCGCGACTAGTCGCAACTGCAGACTCGACTTTTTCCGAGTCGCTACCCCATATTACAACAATAATTATGCAGGAACCATCGTATTTGCAGAAGAGGCTACGGAGGAGGCCGTTCAGTTGAGATGCCGACAAGGAGCAGTGACGAGTAGCAACTAGCGGTTGAGCATGCAACACCAATTGGAAGGTGCATGTGCAAGACGGATTCGGTGAAATGATCCATGTTAACCTTTTTTTTATAGAAGCTAGCTCAGCAGAAACGCTGAATATAGCATTGGAACAGCAACGGGAGCACAAGATGTGGCAAGCTGATGGGCGAGCAACAGCACCTAGTGGTAGCAATAGGAAGAGCAGAATGCTAGCAGCAGCATTGTGCAAAGAGCGGCAGTGACAGCTCCAGGTAAGCAGACGCCGTCAGGACCAAGTCTGGAGTTCCTTTGATGGTCACAGAGAGGGACGAACTCCAGAGGTGGGGATCAGACCAAAAATTGATCAGCCCTGAGAGATCAAGATTTACCGTGGACACTGGGAAAAACAATCCGATTGGGAAGAAACGAGTTGCGGCACCGGAGCAGAAAACACTAAACCTGGGCTCAGGATACCATGTTAGAGGGGCAACTTAGATTGTACTGCATGGCCAATGGGACAAATATAATATAGTACAATAGACTTGGGGTACAAGGAAGAAAATCTAGATTACTACGTAAAGAGACCTAGACCTATACTAATACTCTTTAACACATTATTTACTTTTGGATTGTGATTGGCAATAGTATGGTAATCTGAGATGCAGTTTTAAATCTTCTAACATACAAAAAGAATATTCAAAGTTCACAAAACTTTCAATATCAATGCTATTATAGACATGGTAAATTACTTAGATATCTTACCGTAGTATTTCGTTGCACTAGATATTAATTTGTCCTCTTTGCATTGCAGATAAAAAAGGATGGAATCACAAAACTTGTTGTACTACCTCTTTACCCCCAGTTCTCCATATCGACCAGTGGTTCAAGTCTCCGTCTTCTGGAGAGCATATTCAGGTAAGTACAGTAATTTGAAATGATGAATTGCACATCGCTTTTCAAGATTATACGAGTGACACATTCAGCTGCAATGTTAGAGAGGATGAGTATCTGGTCAATATGCAACATACGGTTATTCCTTCTTGGTATCAGCGTGAAGGATATATTAAGGCCATGACAACTTTGATCGAGAAGGAATTGTTGAAATTTCCAAAACCGCAGAAGGTAAGAACCATGTTTCATGTTCTTGGTGTGCTCTCTTGACTGAAAGTAGTAGAAGGCTGTTGATATTGGAGGCGATTTCCTTGCTGTAACACAAAATATAATACTAGGCCATTCTTTCAGGCAATCTATGTGTGCCGAATTGCCAATGCTTAATATTTTCAAACTGGGCATATATTAAGACAGAAACGTTGTCATCTAGGTTACTAATAGCGTAATAAAATTAGCCACTCATCCTGACACAGGCTCTGGTTGGAACTGCTTAAGGGGGTAGAATATTTAACTTTGTAAGGGAGCAATAGGAATCACTCTTTCAGAAGTTTCTTTTATGGAGAACGCATCCTCGGTAAAAAAAATCTGAATAACCTCACTCATGCGCACCCGGGATCAACCTCCTAGTCGGTCACTCATCCTCAAATTGTGCCAAGCCAAGCATGCTTAACTTTGAGGTTCCTTGCGGATGGACTACCAAAAAAAAAAGAATTTCTTGTTGATATGTGTAGTCTATCATTCGTATTAAGCCAAAATGTCACATAGATTTGTAACACTCCGTAATGGTGTCCTGGACTAGGGGGTGCTAGCCACGTCAGCCCCCAGCCATATAGGCTGGGCCGAGGACCCCCATGAAGATAAACCAAGTGGGCCTCGTTTGTTGAGCCCAGGAGAGCCAGGATTGAAGATTCCAAAGACTTGGCGTGTACTCCATAGATTCAGAGGTAGTCTTCTCCATTATTGCCCTTAGATGTAACCGACCTATGTAAACCCTAGGCACCCCTGGTATCTATATAAACCGAGGGGTGTGGGCTGTAGACAACAACTCAAACGCACACGATATCGCTGTAGATCACATGTACTCTGTACCCCCTTGAAATCGACGCCGGACGTAGGGTATTACCTCTTCAAGAGGGCCTGAACCTGGGTAAACTCTTGTGTCCTTGTTACCATAGTGCCAAGACTACCGGCTCGGGACCCCCTACCTGTGATCTGCTGGGTTTGACTCCATCACTCCGGCCCGGTTCCTGTCCGTTATGTCTAGCAGGATCTAGACTGGCCCCATAGACCAACACTAGTCTTTTCTGTGCACTTTGTCCTCACTCGTGCGCACCCCTGGGACTTCTCAGTCGGTCACCCATCCTCAAATTGCTCCAAGCCAAGCACGCTTGACGTTGAGGTTCCTTGCGAATGGGCTTCTGAAAAAAGAAGATTTCGTTGTTGATATGAGTAGTCCATCATTCCTATTAAGCCAGGATGTCACATACACCCTCATTCAAAGGAACCGATGTCTTCATCGGCGTAGCAGGCCGCCCCCTCTTGGCACACGTATATGCGCCAATACCAACATCCATTTATGCCCATGTCGTGTGCCAGCACGGGCCACACGTTCCATGTACATGTCTGCGCCACTGACCCACACAAGCCCATGAAACCGCGAGGGTCGGCTCTGATACCATTTGTAACGCCTCGGCCACAGCCATCGGTTCCCGGCCGTTATGCCTGGCGGGATCGAGACTGTCCCCACAGACCAACACTAGTCTTTCTTGTGCACTTTGTCCTCACTCGTGCGCATCTAGGATCAACTTCCGGGTCGGTCACCCATTCTCATATTGCTTCAAGCCAAGCACGCTTAACTTTGAGATTCCTTTCGGATGGGCTCCCGAAAAAGAAGGAATTCCTTGTTGATATGAGTAGTCTATCATTCCTAATAAGTCAAGATGTCACAGAGGAGGACAGTGGGCCAAACCGAAGGTTTGAGCCCCTCTAGTGCACCGACGTCCCAAGCTTGGTGCGGCATGAGCCCCAACCGCCACCAAACCTGACGTGCAGAAGGGCACAGGAGGAAGAGGTGTAGCACATCTTCTGAAGGAGCAACACATATTGGGCAGGAGCTGTTGGACCCAATACCTTTGCAGAGTGGATTTGCTATTTTATTGAGCCTAATTTTGAACAGTAGCCATGCAAATACCTTCACCTTGTTGGGAGCTTTGGAAACCCAGATTAGTGCTGCGTTGGGGTCGACGTCATCTTCTGCAATGATCTGTGCGTACGCATTCTTGGAGAAGGGCAGGCCGTGAACGATGAACCTTTGGCCCGGCTGATGCTCAAGGCGAAAGTCCTGCAACAAAGAAAGCGCCTCATCCAGTTCTACAGCAGTTACCCTAGTATGATAAGCTTCAAGCAAAAATATCTAATGATTGATGAAGATACATCTTAGATTATTCCTATTTTGAATCCATTTGTTTTCTTAACTTCAGACAGATCTTAGCCTTTTCAGTTTCTTTGTTCTGATGAATGAAATATTATACCTGATGGGACATGAGATTTGCAGGTTATGATATTTTTCAGTGCTCATGGAGTTCCTCTGGCATATGTTGAAGAAGCTGGTGATCCGTATAAAGCAGAGATGGAAGAGTGCGTGGATCTTATCATGGAGGAGCTCGAAAAAAGAGGAATGGCAAATCCATGTACACTTGCTTATCAGGTCAATACATCACATGCTGATACCCCGTGTATTTTACGTAAGCAACTACAGTACTCCTTGGCTTTTGCAATCACCATCCAAATGGGGATCCTATGTAGTGTGCATCGCTAGCATAACATCGATTTGGTGGTTGCTCCAGTCCAAGTACAGCAGCAGATAAACATGATGCTTAGTCTTATTTGAAGTCTTATCTGGCCTTCTAAACTAACATATTGGCATAAATTTCCAGAGCCGAGTAGGACCAGTGGAATGGCTGAAACCCTACACTGACGAGACAATTATTGCTCTTGGGCAGAGAGGGGTAAAGAGCCTTCTAGCAGTTCCCATTAGGTATACTTCTCTTAACTTGGTTTCTGCTGTCGTAATTAAAGTGATACTCTATATGTAGTATGCCCCTTATAAACTAAACTATTAGTTTGATAATCATCACTGTTTATTCTTGTCTTCTCTCTTCAGTTTTGTCAGCGAACACATTGAGACGTTAGAAGAAATTGACGTCGAATACAAGGAGCTGGCTTTGCAATCTGGTATCAAGCACTGGGGACGAGTTCCCGCTTTAGGTTGTGAGCCCACATTCATTTCAGATCTGGCGGATGCTGTTATCGAAAGCCTGCCTTATGTTGGCGCAATGGCAGTTTCCAACCTTGAGGCTCGGCAGGTAACAAGTATCACAGGACATGCAAAATGCCTTCTATTCGTGTTTTGTATGTGAATCAATCATGTCAGCTTCCAATATTCTACTCCCTCTATCAAAATATAAGACGTTTTTTTCATACAAATGGAGTATCAAAAAGCGTCTTATATTTTGATACGGAGGGAGTAATATGCATGTGGTTTTTTCAACCTAGAGTTGAACACAGGCCTGGTGATTCAATGAACCTATATCACTCAGAATATACTGGTGCAAATTGGAGCTGATTTTGTGTAACTAGTATGTACTCCCTGCGTTCGGATTTACTCGTCGTGGTTTTAGTTCAAATTTGAACCACGACAAGTAAATCGGAACGGAGGGAGTAGCATTATAAGACTTAAGACCAAATACTGAATTAGGGTCAGCAGATAATATTAAAATGGTTTAAACACAAGTGACATGCAAAAACATGCCCTAGATGGAACACCCCTTATATGAAAATCTGATTGTGGTCAAAGCGCTGATCACTCCGTGGTCAGCATAGTAGTGATTCCTTGAACGATATCCTAAATAATTGAATATCCAGTAGTTTGTAAATCTGAAGGAATTGGCATTAGGAACTGCAATTTTTAATTTAATCAAGAAGCAGACTTACACTCGTTCACAGTAGAATTTCCAGTGAAAAATGGTGAATTATCTTTGCAGTCACTGGTGCCACTTGGAAGCGTGGAGGAGCTGCTAGCAGTCTACGACTCGAAACGCGACATGCTGCCTCCTCCGGTGATTGTGTGGGAGTGGGGCTGGACGAAGAGCGCCGAGACATGGAATGGACGTGCTGCTATGCTGGCCGTGTTGGCTCTCCTGGTGCTGGAGGTAACAACCGGACAGGGGCTCTTGCACCAGTGGGGTGTCTTGCCACCTCTCCCTTAACAAGCGGGGATGGATGGATGGATGGATTTCAGGTCTCCCCTTGAGGGGATCTGATCGTAATTTTGGTTCATTTGTGGAATGTCCTGATGCTATATATGATGGATTGATTTGCCTTACGCCAAGAAAGGAAAATATGGACTGAATTCGCCGGTGTAAATATGCTAGACTGAAGAGAGCTTTACATTATTATTAACCAATAAGAGCTGTCGAATCGTTGGCTACAAGATCACAAACAAAAGCTGGAGCCTCGCTCTGCCAAACATATTTATTTTCTTGAAGAGAGAACGCCTCTGGCTTCTGATGCACATCTTTTAGTAAACTCAAATGATAAAAATAAGACAGTTGATTTTTAGGCTCCCCAAGCGAACGCTCTTCCTTTATAAAAAAAAGCGAACGCTCTTCCAACATCGTTCGTGCATGTTCTGTACAGAGTGAACAAAGATGAGCTCATTTCCCCCTCATCATGTCACCCACTCCCTCTCATTTCCGCCCGCTGTATCATCTCTCCTGTCCACCACACCTCTCCTAGCGAGGTGACGCGGCGGCAGCCCGGGGATTCCTG